GGTTCGGGGCTTGGCCTTACCGATGCTTTACCGCCAGGCACTCTCAGAGGGTTGAGTGGGCGGGCCGGTGCGGCGTCGGCTCACGCCTGTCATCCCTGGCACTCTCGGAGGCCGACAGGCAGGAGGATCGGCTTCAAGGTCCGGAGTTTCGAGAGCCAGCATGAGACAAGCGTGAGACCGTCTCTACTATAAATAGCCAGACTAATTGGCCCCTAATATATATATAGAAAAAAATAGCCGGCGCATGGTGGGCGCCAATGCCTGTGGTTCCACGCAGCTTGGGAGAGCTTGAGGACGGCGGATTCGGCTTGAGAGCCCTAGGCGTCTAGAGGTTCGCTGTGAGCTAGGCTGAGGCCACCGGCATCTCACTCTAGGCCTGGACACACAGAGTGAGCTCTGTTCAAAAGAAAGAAAGCAGCAAGAAAAAAAACTACACACACCACAATAAAACAGCTTCCACAGAATAGGCGGCAACAGGGGCACGTGGAGTGCCTGAGGATCATTTTCCCAAGTCGGACCAACAGTGCCCAGGGCTCACCGGCGCTGGGTCGCTGAGTCTCCCGCGGCAAATCGCGAGTGGCACTGGCGGCCGCTCGAGCTAGTAGTGGTCCCTGTCCCAGAGCGCCCTACGTCCTGGACGCCATCCCCGCTCGCGCGTGGCGGGTTGGCGGGCGCGGCTGCTGCCTGGAGGGAGCTCGGGGCCACGGCCCGCCGTGACCTGGCTGGTGCGCGGGCGCCCCTCCCGAGCAGCAGCAGCCCGACCAGGAGCTCCAACATGTCCTCCATCTCGGCCACTGGCGGCTTCTTCCATGTCGCGCTAAATCCTGGGGGAATGAGGAGAAAGCGGCTTAGCCGGCAGGCGGCCAGGGCCGGGGCGCAACAACAGATGGGGAAGGTCGCGGCGCCAGCTTCGGCCGGTCCGCCAGCACCGAGCCCCACGGGAGCAAGGCCCGCGCGCTCGGAGGTCTAGCAGAGATTTCTCGCGAATGTGTGTGTGTGTGCGAATTAATATTCTATTGTGGTAAAGCATACAGGACTACCACTCACTTCTTCTTCTCTTCTGAGACAGCGTCTGCCTTTGTCGCCCGGCTACGAGGTGAGTGCCGTGGCGTCAGCCTCGCTGCAACTCAAACTCCTGGGCCTCAAGCGATCCTCCTGGCCTCAGCCTCCCGGTAGCTGGGACTTTACAGGCATCGCGCCACCTGCCGGCACTTTTTCTATATATCTTCGTTGGCATTAATTTCTTTTCTATTTATAGTAGAGACGGGGTCTCGCTCTTGCTCACAGCAGCGAATGCTGGTTTCTGAAACTCCTGACCTCGAGCAACCACCCGCTCGCCTCCCCAGAGTGCCAGGTATAAGCGTCGATCTCACCGGCGCCCGCGCCTACCCTGTTACCCAGCGCTGCCGCGCGCGCGCTGCCACCGTTCGTCATGTCCCGCCTCTCCATCCGGCGATGCTCTTCGTCCCCCGGCTGCACTGTCCTGAGAGCCACCGTTCCTGGCTCCCTTGGCTCGGGCCGCTGGCCCCGCCTGCCCTGGCCCAGTGCCACTGGCCCCTGCCCTCACGCTCTCGTCGCTCGGTGTCTGGCCTCTCTCGCCCGCCCCACCGGCAGTGGGGCCGCCCGGCATGCTCCTGCGTGCCTGGCTTCTCTGCACTGCGCCGCTGTCCTCCGTTTCTCCGATTGGCCGATCGGCTCGCTGCCGAACGTTGCTTCCCCGCTGAGGCTGCGCCGCGGTCCCTCTGCAGTAGGACTTCAGAGAAGGGACAGCCTGCATGGAGGAGACGTACACCCCACCGCCCAGCATGGTGGCCCCTAGCCACATGGAGCTCTTATGATATAAAATTAAATAAAATGAAATAAAATTTAAAGATTCGGCTTCCCCATCACACTAGCCACATTTGAAGGCTCGGTGGCCACACGTGACCTGTGCCGTGTTGGACAGCATGGACAGAAAGCATTTCTGTCGTGCAGAAAGCTCTGGACAGCACCCGTCCAGCAGCCAAGGAAGAGCCAGACCAGGAGGCAGGAGTGGGCTCCCCCCGGGCC